TAGTGGATTAAAGGTTTCAATTCCCTTCTGTTTGTCAGAGACTGTTCCCAGTTCTTTGCCATATAGATTTCTGTAACATAGTCTCCTGATTTATAAAAGCATGCAAACTGAGAAAGCAATAGAGAGAGGTTGCTATCAAGATGTAAGTTACAGTAATATGTAATGTAATCACAGAATCACTACTTTTGTCATAATCTACTGGTTAGAAGCAAGTCACAGGTTCTGCCTACACTCAAGGGAAGGAAATTTTCAGGGTATAGATGCAAGGAAGTGGGAGTCATTGGAGGCTTGTTTAGAGTCTGTCTCCCATATTTTGTTTTCCCCTCCTTTCTAGCCTTCAACTGAATTATCCAAGTACTTTTATATTATTTCATACCTCTCTCTGCTTACTTCTTAGTTACAAATCTTTTGCTATTTTTTTTACTGGTTACTCTAGGCCTGAACACATTTAATATGAATTAGTATTTTAATCAGTACCTTCATATATTCCCATCCTGCCCTTTCTATTGTTTTCATGTATTCAATTATCCGAATATTTTGGGACCTGTAAGATGTGTTATTTTGATTGTTTTCTATGGTCAATATGTATTTAAAATTTCTCACATATTTACGTCTTATATTGCTTCTCAGTTTTGCATTTCTGTGTTTCTGATGATATAATGTTCCTTCTAGCTGAAAAACTCCATTTGGTGATTCTTTTAGTATAAGTCTTCTTCTCATGAATCCTGTCTGTACTCCAGTTATAGATATAATAGGCCTTTTCACCATGTCCCATATGTATATTAAACCCTTTTCTGTATTTTCCTTTTTTTCCAAGTCTGTAAATTTCTACTAATTTATATTCCAGATCACAAATCCTCTCTCTAGCTACATCACATTGCTTGTTAAACCTATTCATGACATTACTGATTTTAGTTTTTATTATTCTGTTCTATAAGTTACATTTGATTCTTTGTCATAGATATTACTTTGATAAAATTTTTCAACTTGACATTTATTTTCCTATGCATATTAATCATAGTTATTTTAAAGTTTGTGTCTGATAACTCAAAACGTAATCCTTTGTTAGTCTGTTTCTATTGTCTCTTTTTGTTGTTGGAGCCTTAATTTTTTGTATTTGAAATTGCAGAGGCTCTGGGTAATTACCAAAGAGGATTTTCTTTGGTTTCTGGTGGGTTTTATGGTAGAAGCCTATCACTTTAACTATACTAATATCAATATGTTATTAGGATAATTAGGGCCTGAGTTGAAGCTTTTGTAATATCTGGTAACTTACAAGATCTGGTAACAGTGGTGGTTTCACCCTTACTCCCGGGAGTAATTCTGTAGGAGTGTTTTTTTGAACAAGAAACTCAGAAACCATATTATAAATGGAAGATTTTGTGAAATATTAAATGTTTCTAGGTTACATGCTCTTTTTGACATTTTTTTTTTCTTTTTGAGTTAGGGTTTCACTCTGTTATCTATGCTGGAGTACAGTGGCCTGATCATAGCTCACTGCAGCCTCAAACTCCTGGGCTCACGCAATGCTCCCCCTCAGCTTCCCAAGTAGCTAGCATTGCAGGCATGTACCACTATACCTGGTTAACTTTTAAAATTTTTGTAGAGATGGGTTCTTGCTATGTTGCCCAGGCTGGTCTTGAACTCCTAGCTTTAAGTGATCCTCCTGCCTCAGTCTTCCAAAGAGCTGGGATTACAGGCATGAATCATCATGCCTGGATGGTTATGTGTTCGTAGGTATGCACTTATTTGCCAAGGATTACCTGAGGCCAATATTGAATTTAGCATTGGACTCTTCCAGCCTTTGAACACGCTTCTGAGAATTTCTCCCCTCCCATCAACTTGCTTATATTTTCTGAATAGAGATTAAGTCTAACATTAGATGACTGCAACTAAGGATACCACATAATAATATAAATTTCTATCATTAAGTATGAATTACATGTGTATTATCTGTGACACAGTACAACTGTGGTCATAATTAAGAATGTCCAAATTTTAATCATGACAGGATGAATTTAACAAAACTGCCATAATCACCACCTCCCTTTTCCTGTGCTGCCATTGAGGCATGAAGAAGCCACATTTGCTCACCCAGAGGAGATATTTTAAAGTTTGTGTCTGACAGGTACCCTCTTAATTATGCCCCCCACAGCAAGGCTCTGGAGTACATCATGGGAATCAACATAGGATAGAGAAGAGAAATCTGTATTTGAAGTCTGAAACCTGGATTCTAATTCTGGTACTGCCTCATATTAGTAGGGTAGTCATGTTAATTCATTTAACTTTTATTTCTTTTAATACTTTTTTTATTTTTGTTAGTTTGTTTTTAGAGCAGCTTTAGTTTCACAGCAAAAATCAGAGGAAGGTACAGAGATTTTCCATATACCACCCCCTGGTCCCACACATACATAACTTCCCCCACTCTCAGCATCCCCACCAGAGTGGAATATTTATTACAATTGGTGAACCTATCACCGACACTCACAATTATCCCAAGTCCATCCATAGTTTACAGTAGGGCTCACTATAGGTGTTATACATTCTATGGGTCTGGATAAATGTATCATGACATAAACCCAGCATTATAGTATACAGAGCAGTTTCACCACCCTGAAAATCCTCAGTATTCTGCCTCTTCATACCTACTTCCCACTCTCAACCCTGGCAACCACTGATCTTTTTCACCGTCTCTATTGTTTTGCTTTTTTTTCAGAATGTCAAATCATCTAACTTTTTAAAAGTTTTGTAGGACTCAATAATTTTATCTATAAAAGAGTCTGCTAATTTCCATCCTACTTTCTCTAGCAGGTAGTTGGTAGTATCAAGCATGAAATGTGAAAATGCCTCCCAGTTAGTTCAGTGCTTTGTGAATGCTCTTGCCGCCATGAACTTCATTGGCATTTCGAAGGAGGAACAGTTTTGTTTTTTGTTTTTGTTTTTCCTAGTAGCTCTTAAATATTGTGCTCAGTATTGGGAGAATAGGGCATTTTCAGGAAAATTAGTCTGGGGGTTTTCCATTAAAGGTTTGTTTCAAGGTTAGTAGTATTTGTTCTGTTGTTGCCCTTTAGTTTTTCTGTGAGACAAGTCCTGATCACTCTTTAACAGTATCTTGGTTGTATTTTGGTGGTAAATTTACCGAGTTGTATGGGTTTTGACTTAGAGTAGCCTTTAGTAGGCACTCAAAAATGTTTATGTTGCTCCCAAAGACTATTTTCTCTGTAGAACCTCATGCAAAACCCTGACATCTGCTTCTCTGGGATTCTCTGCTCCCTACTAGACAAATTCAATCATGTAGGTCACAGCATCTGAATTTGAGGAAGCATCAGTATCACCTGGAGGGCTTGTTAAAGCACTGATTGCTGGGCTCTCCCTCACTATTTCCATTTCAGTGTGTCCAATAATTTGTGTTTCTATTGGGTTCCCAGCTGATGCCAATGCTGATGGCTCAGGGACCACACTTTGAGAAACACTAATCTAAAGCCTAGGGCAGGATTTCTTAGTGTGTTTTAAAGGACTGCCTTGTTCAGAAACTCCTGGAGTCAATGTGCAGTCCTGTCCTGGGCTGGGTCTCACTAGGGCTCTGAGTTTGGAGATTGGAAACAGAGATTGTAGAGATATGGCATTAATGAAGTTTTCTGACCTATTTATTTTTGAGGCGGCAGGCAGTTCAAATTGTGTAATCCAGGAAAGTCACGTTGTGAGCTCAGGAGTCTTGCTATCATGCCCCGAAAGTGGTGACACAGGACTGTTTGAGTCTGATGAGGTTGTGAACATGAAAGACTCACACAAACATGGGGTGCTTCTCAAGGACAGGGTGTTTCTGCTTCTGACAAATGTCACTCTGGGGCTGCATGCAAGGGAGGGCAGAGTTCAGGGCCTTCCCCAGGAGACGAGGGATGCTGTCATTCACTTCCTTATTGAAACAGAACGACAATACACAATGTTTATTTCTTTTCAGTCTGAGGGAATTTTTTTCAATACAGAATTTATAAATTTGCTTCTGAGAAGAATCCTCACTGTCACCAATCACCTGATAACCCTGACTGCAATACTTGCAGTATTTTTGGAATTTGAACAACTGCAATCAATTGCCTTTTTGATCTGGCAGATTTTCCCATAGATATATCTCCCACTCCTCATGTTTACTTTTGCTGCACCCACTTCTCACTTGTCAGACTCTGCCCGAGCCCTCACGATGCTGCTGCTTCTGCCCCCTTTCCAGCCCCTTCTCTTCACACTAGCCCTTTAAGCAGACATTTAAAGCAATTATTCAGTCGAGTTTCATTATTCTGCTCTCACAGCTACAGTAATGGCACACTTGAAAGAGCCTAGTGGTGTTGAATTTTGTGTTTACTTCCTAATTCCTGGAATAGCATCATTACACCCTCTCATCTCTGCTTGGCTTATTATTTACCTGAACTCTTTTTCTGTTGCAGGAAAGAAAATGGAACATGAAAGGCCAAATATTTCAGTCCAATAATTTTTCAATTAATGGCCTGCTATTTTAAAGTATTACTGCAAAGAAAATTGAGACCATTCATTTTCATCTTTTGTGTCCTAACAAACATATTTTTTTATTGCTTAGTACTTAATAATTCTGATTGATTTTGATTATATATTTGTAAAGGTAATTTTTTCCCCCTGAAGAGAAATAAAAGACCCTTAAACATTTTCTTTTTTCTCTTTGTTTGAGAAGTCTCCAAAGTAGTCGCACCCACCCAAGAATAAATGAACAACCAGGAATGACTGTCCCAGGTGGGAAGCCACTGGAATTTTCTTTCTTTTCCAACTTCCTCTACTTGGTAGTGTCCTTTCCACTCACCATTGTAGACCCTAAATCGATTTGTGGAGTTTCCCCACTAAGGGAGGTCAGCTCTTACTTCCTCGTGTAACTTTAGTGCAATCTAGGGCAAGCTTTGGTGGAGGGTTGGAGGGGTAGCTTGACAGTAACCAAGAAGAAGGAAAGCAGAAGCACCTGAGGTGATCTTCCTACTTACCTGCTGCGCTGGTCCTAGCACAGTCTAATTCTGAGCCCCTCTTACTTCTACAAAGTCCTTGTTCTGGAAGCCCTTGCTCTGCCACTTGCTGTAACACAGGACACCTGGTGCTTTGTGGACTTACTGTGCAATGTAGAAATGATGGCCCCATTCACAGGTGTCCCTGTAGTCTATCAATGGCACCTAAGTACTTTCTGTATCCTTGTGGTTTTAGGTCTCCATGATGGTCTTCAGGAGGTTCACAGACTTATTGTTTGAATGTGCATTTTATGTTTTCCTGGAGAGAAAGAATCCATAACTTTCATCAGATTCTCAAAGAACCATAGGACCCAAGATATTTTAAAAGACGAAGAGATAGCTAGTGATGTGGTAGTGGAAGGCATAGAGGCAATGTGCAACAATAAATATTTATTGGGCACCTACAATGTGCTAGGTGCTGTTATAGAATCTTGATACAAATCCTTACTTCATGAAGTTTGCATTTCATTGAGGAAGAGAAAGATAACAAACTGTCTACACAACACATTCTACAGTATGTTGGAGGGTGGAGGTGCCCTGGGAAAATTACAGCAGGGTGAGGGTCATCGGCAGGGAGGTGGACGGAGAAAAGTGCTGCCACGACTTCAGCGTAGACCTTGCTGAGAAAGTGGTATGTTTGTGAAATCTTGAAGAGAGAAAGAATCGAGTGACCCTTTGAGGGAAGGATGTGCCAGGAAAAGGAAACAGCGACTGCAGTGACTCTAGGGTGGAAGCAAGTCTGGTGTGTTCACAGTGGTAGATGGAATGGGTAAGGGAGATTGGCAAGCAATAAGTCAGAGGGGAATTCGGGGTGTTTGTATGTTTCTCTCTCTCTCTCTCTCTCTCTCTCTCTCTCTCTCTCTCCTCTCTCTCTCTCTCTCTCTGTGTGTGTGTGTGTACTTGTGCATGTGCGAGGCAGGGCCACGTATGTCTCTGTGCATGACTCTGGGGACCTGTCAAGGAGTTTTGAGCAGAGGAGAGATATGCCATGGATTTAGGTTAGAAGAGGATCATTCTGGCTGATGTATTAAAAACAGAGTTGGGAGCAAGGGCAGGAGCACACAGACCAGACTGCCTTGTAGTCATCCAAGAAAGAGAGGATGATGGTGTGGACCAGGCTGGTTGCAGCGGAGTTGCAGGGGACTGGATGGATTTTAAATCTATTTGGAGGTAGAGACGGCAAGATTTGCTGTGTCAGAGCAAACAGGGATGACTCTAAGACTTTTGGCCTGAGCAACTAAAAGGGTAGAATAATTGGGAAAAACTAGGGCTTTTAGGTCAGACAGGGCATGGATCTCAGCTCTGCCATTTACTGACTGTGTAGTGACCTGACTTAAGGGCAAGTAGTTTACCCTTTCTGAGTCTCAATGTTGCAGACTGACGACGCCCACACCTATCCTGTAGAGATGTTGTAAGGAATATCCACAAATTGCCTAGAGTATGGTAAATTGAATAGATGCTAACTCCTTTTCCCAATCTTCTTTTAGGGAATGTAAGAGGGAAGAAAGGAGAAAGCGAGAATGCGGGTGGGTAGTGTCTCCATCTTAGACATTCTTTCAGTAGGCTCATGTCTTTTTGCCTCTATCGTATAGTGTCTGAAGCCTAGCCTTCCTCAGCCCCGTGTTCTCTTCTGCTGGGTACCTGGGGCTACTCACTTTGGTTCAGTTTACATACTGTTTTAATTATCTTCAATACATTATTTTATTGTTACTTACCTTAAAAATGTGTTTCTTACAGTGAAGAAGTTTTTACATAATACTGTCCATTATCCATGTGTGTTGTCCATAAACAGGCCTAACTAATATGTTTGTTGGAATGTAATGATTAGGTTATTGGTGTATTAAACATTTTATGTTGTGTAGAAAACCTTTTTGAGTTGTTATATAACCATTTAAGAATGTTTTACTGATATTCGATGTGACTAGTGAGGATTTTTAGATGGTTTGAGAATGCATTATTATTATTTTTATTTAAGCAGTAATACATAGTCTGCCATTGTCTGGTTATTAGTTACCAAATATGCTTTCAGTGGTGGCTAGATTTAGGATAACAAGATATGCCAGGATTTGGAATTCAACAATTGAGGAAAGAGTATGAACTGATTGGGCTTTAAAAATACAGCCTGCTTCCTTGATTCAAAGGCCCTCAGTTCTATATATTTTAAGGTTTCTGAAACTAGAGTGTGTCTTCTAACCAATATATACATTTCACATGATATTTCTGTTTGAGTTTTGGATAAACTTCAGGAAGTGACAGCCCTCTTTTCTACCTCAATTCAAAGCCAACTGAAAAATAAAACTATATTGCAGGTAGAGAGTAAATCTACCAGTTTTATCAATGATGGGTTGGCTTACTTTGAGTATTCTAAACAGTAGTACTTACCTACGTTTCTTGGTTGATCTGGATGAAGAAACAGGGAATGAAATTCATTCCTCCATGCTTGGTACTTTGGTTTAATTAGCTTCACTAAACAGAATTGTTGTTCCCTGCTCTGGTCCTTCAACTGGCTAACTCTCTCCACCTCCAAGATGAGAAGCCAGAGGCTGATCCCAATCCAGGAGTATCAACATTTTCCTCGGTAGCATTATAGGGGCCACAGAGTCACTCTGAGTGTCCTGAAGAGAATATGATGGCATCTCCTTTTTAATGGGGAAGTAAGTAGTGCCTCCTGTAGACTTTGAATTTAGCCAGTTGGGGTGGGGGTGGTTAGGTAGGGGCCCTATTGTCTAAGGAAAGGATGTGATTCCTAATTTTTTATGTTTTGAGGGTCTAGAAGGAGGTACTATCTATAAGGAAGCTCTGGAAGAGAAGGTGGAAATGACTGGATACTAGATTGTCCTTTTTTGCTTTTAGAAAACTAGGCTCAGTGGTGACATACACTTTTTAAGGAGATGAACCGTAGTTCCAGCGGTGCAATCAGTTAGTGCACAATATTTATAAGGAGATCATAGGCTCCTGTACGTTTTTAGTCTGGGGGAGGGGCCTGTAGTTGAAGGGCAGGTGGGGGAAATATAATGATATACATATCTTTAAAAATTTAAAATGCAGTTTAAGTAGGTATGGTCATAACTATTTTCAATTATTTTTAAAACAGAAAATAAATATTCAAACAGTAAAAGAGACAACCCCCTCTAAATCCCTTGCTCTCTTAAGCAGGACTAAACATTTTAGGAGGACAAAACTCCCTGTTTTTGAACTTTATATAATTGAAGTCATATGGTATATATTTTATATCTAGCTTCTATAACTCTACATGGTGAGATTAATCATGTAGTTGTAGATACTTGCAGTTCTTTCATTTTAATAGTTGTTTGTTATTTAATTGGATGCCATAACAATTTATGCATAGATTCTACTGTTAATAGACATTAGGGGTGGTTTATTTGGGAACTATTAAGTGTAGTGCTGCTATAAACATTAAATTTTTAAAAATTTTAAATATGTGGGGTACAATTCAGGGTTAGGTATACAAACGTTCATTATGCAAATACCCTTGTTGATTATGCGTGTTCCCCCCCTGCCCTGGCAGTTACCACTACTGCCAATCCCTTTCTTATAGTATTATGATAGTTGTTCAAAGTCCACTTATGAGTGAGAGCATTCGATACTTGGTTCTTTGTTTCTGTGATAGATCACTCAGTATTATAGCCTCTAACTTCATCCAAGTTGCTGCGAAGTTCACAATCTTGTCCTTCTTTATGGCTGCGTAATATTCTATCATGTATATGTACCACATTAAAAATCCAGTCCTCTTTTGGTGGGCAGCATGGTTGGTTCCATGTTTTTGCTATTTTAAATAATGCTGCAGTAAACATTTGTGTGTAAGTATCTTTGACCAAACTTTTCTTATCCTTTATTTTAATCATTCATCTGGTGATGCTTATTCATACAAAGTATCATATTATATACTGCCATCCAAATATGGAATATAGTGCTCTTAAAGCCTTTTCAAGCAACTTATGTCTTAGTTCATTTGTTTCTGTGACAAAATATCTCTAAACAGATAATTTATTAAGAATAAAAATTTATTTTCTCACAGTATTGGAGGCTGGGAAGTCCAAGATCAAGATGCTGGTAGATTTAGTGTCTGGTGGGTGTTGTTTTTTTCTTCCAAGTTGGAGCTCTTGCTGTATCTTCACCTGGTGGAAAAGGCAACTGGTATACCTCACATGACAGAGGCAGAGGGGTGAAGGGGCTACCTTCCCTTAAGTCCTTTTATAAGTACATTGATAATATTCCTGACTTAAACACCCCCAAAGGCCTCACCTCTTGATTTATCACATTAGGTCTTAGGTACCAATATGTAAAATTTGGGGGAACACATACATTTAAAACATAACAGCGTATATTTGTGTATTTGGCAGTCTGCTATGACATTCCTTTTCTTTTAATTGAATGATTTAGCCCTTTTATATTTATTATAATTCCCGATATAATTAGATTTAAATCTGGTATCTTACGATGTGTTTTCTATTTATACCATATATGCTAAGCTCTTGTTAACTCTTTTTTTGCCTCCTTTTTTGAGTATTTTAAAATTATTTTTATCTCTATTGTCTTAGTAGTTATACACATTTTAAAAATACCACTCTTTTATTGCTAAATTAGTATTATATCATGCAGCTTTGATTTATTAAGATCTAATGTAAATTCTACATTTACCACTTCCATGAAAATGCAAGGGTCTGCATATGCTTTAGCGCTTTAAAACCTTCTTTCAAGTGACCCAGATATTTATCCTTTTCATCTTTATCATTTATGTCTGAACGTCTGCATTTCCATCTTGGACTTTTTAACTTAAACAATACCTTTTAGAATTTCTATATTTAAAAGTTTGCTGATGATAACTTAATTTTATTTTTCTGTCAAAATAAATATTACACTTTCATTTTTAAAGGATATTTTGCTGACTATAGATTTCTAGGCTGGTAGTTAATGCTCTCAATTTTTACTAAGTTTTGACAAAGGTAGTTAGTTTAAGTTGTGCCAGGAAAGTTAAGGAAAGATACTTGTTAAAAAATTATTGGTCATGATGTATTACGTCTTACAGTACATTCTTCAGTCTGCTAGTTCCAAGGGCTTTCCTAACAAAAAAAGGACTTTGTAACCTCATAACTTTATAAAAATATGCAT